AACTAGTTGAATTAATATATAGAACTAGTTACTTTTAGTATATGCTTAGTTTGAACTAGTTGAATTAATATAACTAGTTTATTTTTAGTAATGTTTAGTTGAACTAGTTGAATTAATATATATATATATATAACTAGTTTATTTTTAGTAAATACTTTAAACTAATTGAATTGATATAACTAGTTTATTTTTAGTAAATGCTTAGTTGAATTAATAGAAGTAGTTGAATTAATTGAATTAGTAAGTGATTAATGTTTCGCCTAATATGAACATAGGAAATGTTGTCTGACGACGGAAAAAATTTCATTATGTGCGAATACTGTGAAGACCAGCGCGGCCAGTGCGACAGAAATTTCCTTGTTGATGGTAGGCGATTCAGCATCAAGCTGGATGAGACTTTCGAATTCGATACAGTAAGTCACAACGACAAGTCTGTTTTCGTAATTAAGCATGACTTATATATGCTTCATTTGCCTGACTTATAATTTTTAATTTTCACTATTCTACTAGCGCATCCCGTGCCATGCAAGAATTTTTGTCTTGGATAAGATATGTTTCAAAGATATGGAAACTATGGAGGTAAAGAGAGCTTACCTAAAAATGAGCATGATGGTTATACTTTCAACGTCAAAGTATACAATGCACACACGTGCACCTATTTTGAATGCAAAACTTGGCAAGCATTATGCAAGGCTTATGCATTTAAGCCTGGTATGGTTATCACCTTTCATATTCGTCCGGAAGATGATATTGAAGGTAATAGAGACATATGGGTCGATGTGCAGACGCCTCCAGTTCTACCATTATGTGAGTTCTTCTCAACTATATTTTTGTCTTTGATATTGTTTATTCAAAAATAACTGACAACTAATTTCTATTGACAGCTTATCTCCATTCAACCAAATATGTCCGGTGCTTGGTAGACAGGACCTACTACTGTCCCGGAGCTGAACTAAACTGCGAGGAGATAAGTCATTATGTTTCATGGCTTGAGGATCTTCATACTGTCAAGACAAATTTTCTTCCTGCACTTAGAAATATTAGTACTCAAAACGTGCGACCAATAGTGATGGTACTGAACTACGGTCATATCTATTTAAAAATGATGGTAAGATATTTACTATTTGTCCTCAGTGCATATTTTGCATACATAATTTTTTGCTAAACTTTCATTGCTAAGTATATTAATTAAGTAATATACAATGTTTTTCAACAGGGACTCCCGATGACAGTTGTGCCTCAGGGAATCGAGACTAAAGGTCAGATGTCAATTGTTAGCTTACGACCAAGATATTCTGCATTGCACATGAATGCATTCAGGATTTCTAGAAGCGATGAAAGCTTAATAGTGAAAGATTAGAGGAAAATTGTTAATGATTGCAGAGAAGTACTAGGGGGAAGCAATGAGAAGCGCAACCCACGATTAGGAGACAGGTTCATCGGCATGCTCCAGTATGATCAATCAGGAGAGCTATACATGTTCTATGCTATTTTACCAAAGAGAGAGTAGCTAGCAGGAGTGATTTAGCTAGTTCTTCATGCTGCTCTTAATTAGTACTTGTCCTTTCATGTCTGTGTTCTTCGTTCTAAACTTAAGTGATTTGCTTTTGTGGTGTTATATATGAATGCTTATAATATCATGACAATCATGTTGAACTTGATCGATAATATTTTTGCTTCTGGTACAAGTGAATGTTTCTTCTTTAAGCTAGTAGTGCTTGTGGTGATTAGATAGCTAGTTAATTATTATATTATTTAATAAAAGAAACCGCAGATTAGTTTCAGCTGGATGGATCATACCTAAGTGATCAAGTATATGCCATATCCGTATATATTATAGTTGATCAAGTATAATATGGATATGGCATATACTCTAGCTAGATAGCTAGTAGAGATATCCAATAATGCATCCAGTCGAAACTAATCCGCGGTACTTTCACCTAATGATTTAACAACTCATTATAATGTAAAACAATCACTAAATTAAATTGAAAACACAAAATTAAAGAAAAATTAAAAGAACACCCAAACATTTAGTACCGGTTGGTGTTACCAACCGGTACTAATGCCCTCCACGCAAACGGGCCTGGCTCGTGCCACGTGGTGGCACTTTAGCGCCGGTTCGTGACGAATCGGTACTAAAGGGAGGGGACCTTTAGTCCCCACTCTTTAGTGCCGGTTGGCGAACCGGCACTAAAGCCCGTTACGAACCGGCACTAAAGGCCGGTTCTGCACTAGTGTAGAGAACAAGTTGAAATCCCGGAAGATCAAGATGCGGCTCCGCTTATGAACTTTCTGCAGATGCATCAGAATCTTCGAGGTTAGCAGGTGCACATGAAGCTACTCAATGATCTTGTGGAGCACATGTGGATCCACAATGGCAACCAACGAGGCAATGCTTGAGTTTGGCACTTCAAATAAATTTTATGTAAACGCTATCTATGTTTGGTACCAACAATTGCTATTTACGTGTGACATTGTGTTGCATGATCGACGTGCATGTATTTACATGAATTTGAGAGTCCGGATTTGAGAAATGTGGATGCCCAGAAGGAAATATGAGGGCTCGTCCGGATGCACCCGCGGGCGTGCCCGGTCGCGTCCTTGGACGTTTGAGGGGCCGAATTTGCCAAGTTCGGCTGTAGATGCTCTTAAGGCCTGTTGCATAAAAATGAATTTGCAAAAGTACATTGGAAATACTTTTTTCCTATGATATATATTGGGCCTAATATTTTTGTGAATCATTTTGGAAATGAAATGACATTTCCTGTTCAAATTAAATCAAATTAGATTAAACCAACTATTCACCTAGGCCAAAACAGCCGCAACAACAAACACAACCCAACTCCCCTTTCTCTCCAATTAGGCCCATGACCCATTCTCCTTTCCCGAATCAATACGCGGCACCAGTTTAGTCATGGTCATCTTCTTAGGCCTTGTACAATGGAAAGTGCTTAGGGAAGGTGCTTAGAGAAATAAACCAGACTTTTCTTAAGCACCGGTGCTTATTTGTACAGGATAGACGCTTAACTAAGCGTCTCTCCTGTAGAAATAGGCACCGGTGCTTCACAAAAACCCAGTTTATTTTTTTAAGCATCTCTCTAAGCACCTCCCATTGTACAAGGCCTTAAAATCCAACAGCCAACGTCACTCCCTATCTCTCTCTCACTGACAGCAGGACCCACTCCCTCGTCCGTAACCTCCACCCCACACACATCTTAAATCAGTCTCACGAGTGATATGGTGACGACCAGTAGCGGAGCTACAACAAATAAGTTGGGCGGGCCAAACTGAAGGTTAAGCCTAAATTTTCTATCCGCATGGCCCAGTTTTAGCACTAGGCTCACTGGGCGGGCTATAGCCTTGTTTTGTTTCAACGTAGCTCCGCCACTGGTGACGACAATAATGACTGTGAAAGATGGGGAAGCAACACAGGGAGCCCAACACATTATGAATAACACCGAGCTGTTATCCACGTTCAAAAATCCTTATCTAGACAATGAACAACCAAAAGAATAGTTGTAATCTTTGTAATTTCTTTTCCTTTTGTATTTTATCCCTTTCGTAAGTTTTCTTTTCCTTTTGTAGTTTTCTTCTGGTTGTAATTTTCTTTTCCGAGCAAGTAGCTTGGTACACTTTTGCCTTACTAGGATTTATCTCCAAGGAAATTTATCTAAACTGTTTTAATGAGGCAACTACTAATAAAACTCAATATTTATCCATCCATATCACCATATGACACTTTGTCCTTTTTATAATGAGACAATCCCGCAGGTGGTTGCTCTCTCCTCGTGCGAGGCACAATACATCGCCGGCTTCACCATTGCCTGTCAGGTCATTAGGTTAGCTCGCATGCTCGGCGAGTTGATGAACCAGGACACAAAGGCGGCCAAGATGTTCATCGACAACAAATCCGCCATCCCGCTCGGGAAGAATCATGTGTTGCACGGCAGGAGCAAACACATTGACCTCCGTTACCATTTCATCACTGAGAACATTTAGAATGGCATGATGGTGGTCGAGTTCATCCTCTTCGGTGAGCAAAAGGCGGACATTCTGACCAAGCCGCTTGGGCGCAATCGCTTCCAGGAGCTGTGCTTGAAGATCGGCACCCTCGACATCAGGCAGCGCACCTAAATTACGGGGCGATTGTTGGGATAATTCAGTTACGCAAATAACGATGCCATGGCAGCCAAAATCGTTAGGTACACAAGGACATGTTTCAGGTTTCAGTGTAAGATTTCTGTTAGCTAACAAGGACATGTTTTGATGTGTGCTCCGCAGAATAGGTAGTAGGCCTGCTGCACAACTTTGTCCGTGTGATGGCATGGGCACGATGGAGTTTACTGCAAGCATCATGACACGTTTTAGGACCATTGAATAAAAGAAAGAGAAGAAGAGAAAAGCAGCAGAACTTGGCCTGCACAATATCTCCCCTGTCTCGGTTTTTTCTTGAGAGAGTGATCGAGCTGAGAGAGAAAGAGGTGCTCCGGCGAGCTTCAACGACAACAGTTTGCTCAGTCTGGAATTCTGGATGCTACTGCGCCTCTTACGACCGGACAGAGAACTAGTACGATATCCAAGATCGAATTTTCAACGTGATCCTCGCTTTTCCACCTTAATAATCAACCAACTACAGTAGGAGCTAGACTTCGCGCCTGAACGTGTGATCCAACACCAACAACGTCAAGTGTTTTTCTTACTGTATTTGCTTGCTTGCACATGTGCGTGTGGAAAAACGGTCCCATTACCGGAACAAGTCGGGCCTTTCTCCTCCTCGTCCTAGTACTGCCCGTGCATAAAATAAAATATTACAAACTCCGGCGACCGGCGTCGAGCTTGATTACGTTACGTGCCGCCGCTAACTTCTCTATCCTTTTCCCGATCCGTACCGGGCCAAACAATTCTTTCCGCGGTGACAGCCAAAGCAGCTAGAGCACTAACGATTTTTTTTGTCCCGGCCTGATCACCGACCAAGCTCAGCTCAGCTCAGCACGGCCATGACCGCAGCCGCAGCTCGCGGCTGCGGCTGTGCTCTGCTTCTGCTCTTCGCCCTAGCGCTCCCGGGCACCGGCCGTGCGGGGGCGCAGCGCGAGCGCGGCAGCCTGCCGCGCGGCGCCTCGCTCGCCGTCGAGGACCACGCGTCCGACCTCCTCGTCTCCCCGGACGGCGCCTTCGCCTGCGGCTTCTACGCCGTCTCCCCCACCGTCTTCACCTTCTCCGTCTGGTTCGCGCGCTCCGCCGACCGCGCCGTCGTCTGGACGGCCGCCGCCAGCGCCACGGCGCGCCGCGCCGTGCACAGCCAGGGCTCCCGCCTCGCGCTCGACGGCCGCCGCGGCGCGCTCGTCCTCACCGACTACGACGGAGAGGTCGTCTGGAACTCCACCGCCCACGACGGCGCCGCGCGGGCGCGGCTCCGCGACACCGGCAACCTCGCCGTCGAGGACGCCCGGGGGGCCGTCCTGTGGCAGAGCTTCGACCACCCCACCGACACCCTGCTCCCCGCCCAGCGCCTCGGCGGCGCCGCCGGGAGCGGGCTCGTGTCCACCAGCAGGCTCCTCGCGGCTGGGCACTACGGCTTCCGGTTCAGCGACTACGCCATGCTCTCAATGGTGTACGACGACGGCGGCGAGGTGTCCAGCATCTACTGGCCCAACCCCTACTTCAGCTACTGGCAGAACAGCCGCAAGATCTACAATTTCAGCCGTGAGGCAGAGCTCGATTCCTCGGGGCATTTCTTGGCCAGCGATAACGCGACGTTCGATGCCGCCGATCTGGGCGGCGCCGGGGTCAGGAGGAGGCTGACGCTGGACACCGACGGCAACCTCCGGCTGTACAGCTTGGACGCCGGCGACCAGACGTGGACCGTGTCGTGGATGGCGTTCTCCAACCCTTGCATCATCCACGGCGTGTGCGGCATCAACGCGCTGTGCCTCTACACGCCTTCACCGGCCTGCGTCTGCGCCCCCGGCCACGAGCGCGCCGACCGGAGCGACTGGAGCAGGGGCTGCCGGCCGACGTTCAGCAACTCCACCGGCGGCCGCGACGAGAAGGTGAAGTTCGTGGCGCTGCCGCACACCGATTTCTGGGGCTTCGACCTCAACAACAGCGAGTTCCTGTCGCTGGACGCGTGCGAGGAGCAGTGCACCGGCGAGCCGTCGTGCGTGGTGTTCCAGTACAAGCAGGGCAAAGGGGAGTGCTACCCCAAGAGCCTCATGTTCAACGGCAGGACGTTCCCGGGCCTGCCCGGCACGGCCTACCTCAAGGTCCCCGCCGACTTCAACGTGCCGGAGCTGCACGTCCATCAATGGCAGACCGATGATGGCCTCGCCATCCAGGAGGACATTGCCGGATGCGATGCCGCGGCACCGGAGGTAGTCATGCTCAACGTCTCCAGCACGGCGAAGATGAGCAGCAACCAGGGCAAGTCGTTATGGTTCTACTTCTACGGATTCTTGTCCGCGTTCTTCGTCATCGAGGTGTTTGTGATAGCGTTCGGGTGCTGGCTCTTCTCCAAGAAAGGGATACTGTCCAGGCCATCGGAGCTGCTGGCCGTGGAGGAAGGGTACAGGATGATCACCAGCCATTTCCGGGCGTACAGCTACTCAGAGCTGCAGAGTGCCACCAGGAAGTTCCGCACCGAGATCGGGCATGGCGGGTCGGGCACCGTGTACAAGGGGGTCCTGGACGACGACAGGACGGTGGCCGTCAAGGTGCTGCAGGACGTGAGCCAGAGCGAGGAGGTGTTCCAAGCCGAGCTGAGCGCGATCGGCAGAATCTACCACATGAACTTGGTGAGGATGTGGGGGTTCTGCTCAGAAGGCGCGCACCGGATTCTGGTCTACGAGTACGTCCACAACGGATCATTGGCAAATGTGCTGTTCCAAAGCACCGGAAATTCCGGCAGGTTGCTGGGATGGAAGCAGAGGTTCAACATCGCCGTCGGCGTGGCCAAAGGACTGGCATACCTTCACAATGAGTGCCTGGAGTGGATCATCCACTGCGACATGAAGCCGGAGAACATACTGCTGGATGATGAAATGGAGCCCAAGATCACCGACTTCGGGCTGGCGAAGCTGCTCAACAGAGACGGGTCCGACTCGGGCTTGTCGCGGATCCGAGGAACAAGGGGGTACATGGCACCCGAGTGGGTCTCCAGCCTTCCCATCACCGAGAAGGTCGACGTGTACAGCTACGGCGTGGTGCTCCTGGAACTGATGAAAGGGCAGAGGGTTTCGGATTGGGTGGTGGATGGGAAAGAGGGGCTTGAAACTGATGTCAGAACCGTGGTGAAGATGATCGTCGACAGATCGAAGCGCGGCGATGGAGGATGGGTTGCGGACCTGGTGGATGAACGGCTTGATGGCGAATTTAACCATGCGCAAGCTAAAATATTTGCCCAGTTGGCTGTCTCATGTTTAGAGGAAGATAGAAACAAAAGGCCCGGTATGAAGAATGTAGTGCAGACGCTCATCTCTACAGATGATGAGTCCAGAGATAATGAATATCCAGAAATTTGATTCAGTTTATTTTGGACATGTGTTAGTGTGTGTGTGTATACAGCTCATCTCTGCAGACGGATGTATCAAGCCACGTATCTAGACAAGTTTAAGACAAGAATTTTGGGACGGAGGGAGTATATTATTTACTCCCTCCGATCCAAAATAAGTGTCACAACTCAACCTTAGTTTAAAACTGCAACACTTATTATGGACCGGAGGGAGTAGAAATTAGAACCCACAAATTATGTCTTTGTTAATGCATTATAGCAGAAATCTAGAAGTTTACCTGTTGCAGATGTTGGACAAGCTGCACTTGGATTGTTCTTCTTGCCCAAATCTATTGGTTTGACAGTGGTATCATAGCTGATTTGGGACATCACTTAGATTGTCAACTGGATCAGGATACTTGTGCAGTCCTGCTGCATTTCCTCCCGTTGCCAGATGAAAAATCTTTGATACAGAATGTCATACATAGAACACCTATATCAGCTGGCGAGCAGTTACCAGATGATACCATTGGTTTTACCATTGTCAGATTTACAATATGTTCTTATAACTACTAAGAGGGCCTAAGCGATTTCAGAAACAAAAAGACTGAATATATTACATGAACAACTAGTACATGTATTACTATTATTACTCAATTACTACATAATATGGAATACCTATGCACAAGGATACAACTATGTTCAGGTTCAAACTGAAGCTTCTTCAACTGAAAGGAGGCTCTCAACTATTGATTCCATTGTTGGCCTGTTCTTTCTGTCCTCCTCCAGGCATGAAACGGCTATCCTGATCAACTCTTTCGCTTGCAGGTAGTTGAAATCGCCGTCCAGTCTGACATCTACAAACTCCGTTAACCACAACAGTTCATCCCCTTCCAACCTGTAAGAAAGCATCTTAATGAACTTCTTGAGCACCACATGGACATCCTCCTCCAAATTAACAACAAAGTCGAGAATTCTTGTTCCTGACACTAGTTCAAGAAGCACGATTCCGTAGCTGTACACATCAACCTTCGCTGTTATCGGTAAACCTGTGACCCACTCCGGAGCCATGTAGCCCAAGGTTCCTCGCGCCCGAGACAGATTCTGATTAGGCCCCGTTCTGCTGAGCAGCTTTGCGAACCCAAAGTCGGTGATCTTAGGCTCTAGATCCTGATCCAGCAGAATGTTCTCTGGCTTCAGGTTGCAGTGGATGACCCACTCTAGGCACTCATGGTGAAGATAGGCCAGCCCCTTTGCAACACCTAAAGCAATGTTGAACCTCTGACCCCACTGCAGCAAGATTTTGTTGCTGAATAGTATGTTAGCTAATGAGCCGTTCTCAAAATACTCCAAGACCAGCATTCTATGGGATCTCTCTGAGCAAACCCCCCATATTCTTGCCAGATTCATATGGTTAATCCTTGCAATGACATGCAACTCATCCTGGAACTCTGCCCTGTTCCGTGTTACATTTTCCAGCCTTTTTATAACCGCCTCTCGCTCATCATCCAAGGTTCCCTTGTAGACAATACCTGAACCTCCCCATCCAAGCTCATGTTTGAACTTTTCAGTCGCCTTGGCCAGCTCTCTGTAACTATACATCCGGAAATGACTAGTCATCACCTTGTAGCCTTCCTCAGCCGCCCATAATTGCGATGACCTAAACTCTCTCCGTAGAACGAAGAACCATGCAAACGCGAAGAAGAAAGCCTCAATGACAAAAAATGCAGCAATGAACCCATATAGATAGAGCCATTTTGGATCATCACTGCCATCTTCACGAACCATGTCTGGCACTGATTCTATGATTGTTTTGCTCACATGATCACATTCAAGACGATGTATTTTAGTGTTGAGCACATTGGACTGTGGAATTGGGGTATTTGAAACATTGAAACTTGTGGGGAGCTTGATGTACATCGTTCGCACAGTAGGTGTTGGGAAACTCCTTCCATTGAAAAGAAGATTCTTTGGATAGCATGTGCCATTTCCTTGTTGGTACTGAAAACCCTTGCACGTGCAATCACTCAAGCATACGTTCCAACAATCCTCCAAGGACACTTCGTTGATGCGCTGCTGATCAGATCCCCAAAAATCAGTGTTTGGAAGCTGCAAAAATGTCACATTCCGTTCACTGTCCCCACATCCGATGGTATCTACGGTAAGCTCGCATCCCTGTGTCCAGTTGCCAGGATTCCTCATTGCATAACCAGGTGGGCAAGAACATGTTGGTGCAGGGGAGTAGTGGCAGATCCCATATGGACCACACATGCCATGTATCATGCATGGCTGAGAGACAGCCACCCATGAAACTGTCCATCTCCTGTTTGAATCTGATTCATTGCTCAAGCTGTATATCCTAAGATTACCATCAGAATCAAGGGTAAGTCTTCTCTTAATCCCATAGCCTCTATCAGAGGCAACAAGAGGCCGGTGCCACGCGAAATCACTGGCAAAAAACTCCCCATAATCATCAAGGCTCCCCATCCTAGTACTGTTATAGAGGTTCCTGTTATTCTCATAGTACTGGTAATCAGGATCAGGCCAGTATATGTCAGAAACATTGGTGTCATCGTAGAAGAGAGACAGCATGGATTGGTCACTAAAACGGAAGGTGTAGTGACCAGGAACATGCAGCCGGCTGGTAGAGACTAACTTTGCCGTGGCAGGGATTCGCTGGGTGGGTAGGAAGGTGTCTGTCGGCGAATCGAAGCTCTGCCAAACAATGGTGCCGCTTGTGTTATTCAGCACGAGGTTTCCGGTGTCAAGAAGCTGTGCATACTGGACATTCGGGAGGTTGCCCTCAGTTTGCCACACGACGGTGCCGTCGTCGGTGAGGACCATGTTGCCGTCCTTGCGCAGGGTGACGGCTGACCTCCTGGAGAGCACGGGGCGGCCGCGGTTGGCACTCCAGACGACGGTTTCGCCGGGTGAGTCGGAGTACCAGATGGAGAAGGTGAAGGCGCCGCTGTAGATGCTATGGAAGCCGCAGGAGAACGTACCGTCGGGTGACCGCAGGAAGCTGGTCTCGTGATCCTCGACGGCGAGGGAGGATTTCAGCGCCAGGACGTCGCCGCCGGGAGGTGCCGCGCCACCAGCATCCACGGCTGGTAGAAGTAGAACAAGCAAGGATAGGAGCAGGGTGGGTAGGAAGGGGGTAGCCATGGTTGGTTGCAGAGATTATCTGAGCTGCTGCCTGCAGGGCCGGGATGAGGATGAGTTTGAGTAGGCGATGAAGTTCCAGATGCTCCCCTTTGTCTTGGTCCAATCCACCGGTAGCCATGGTTGGAATACTTCTTGTCTGCATGCATGTTGAGACTTGTAAAAACGATATGCTGTAGAAGAGGAGGACTACTAATTGGACTTTGTTACCTGAAATGTATTAAAAGTCCACAAGCTGAGGGATGCATCTTGTCCAACACACTAGTTTATATCTGTCTAAGCTTGAGATTCATCAATGAACATAGAGCCACATGGTGCGGCGCTTGATTGTGACATCTCCAGAATATTAAGGACAGATCAGCTTTAAACAGGGACGGTCGCTGTCCAGCTACGTGGCAGCATCTAACTTCTTTTCGACCCCTTGTACCCCTGCTCACCAACCCCTTCTGTGTGCTGCAACCTGGACAGCAATGAAATATTCAGGTGGGGAGTCGCTCTCCTCAGCAAACTTTTGAGAAAGTGAAGCTTGGCTTGTTGCTAAAGTGTATTCAAAACTTGTGATTTTATACTGTTACAACACCTCCTCTTCTTCAAGAACAGAGGAATGCTGTTACAACGCAATAGAAGCTGTCCACAAAGGCAGGCCGGGGTCCAGTTAACCCAAGCCTAGGCGGAACCCTCTGGAAGATGGTCAAAGAAGCAAACGTCCACTGTATCTGCGACAAATTCACAGCCAAGCAGAAACCCATGATCAGCCTGAACAAGTGGTTTGCTCTTACAGCAAAATGTGTCAATGGATTGCCCACAGGGGCTAACTGTTTCGCTAGTTATAATATAAATTTACATGCTTTGGTTTCAGATTTCAATGAAAGTTTCCCCTGTTTATCTTCTGAAAGGTGCAATATTTTTACAGGTTACATTGCTTTGGAGCAGCGGCCAATGCCTGAGCATTTGCTGTAAGACAACTCTGATCAATGGAGAAATGAATGAAGGATAGAAGGCTGTAATTTACATTTTTACATTTTGTATACTAACATAAGCGGCGTTTAAAATTTCAATTTATCAGCTACAACATATGCAACGTTTAAATTTTACACAAAAACACGACAAGCAATTAAGTAGTCTAGCTAATGCACTTTTCTGTCAGCAACAAGCTTCGTTGAATAGTCTCAGAGAAAGAAACTTCAGCGGAAAGAATGCATTATCCTAGAAAAGCCATGCATATGAATTCAAGAAGAAAAATCTGATGGGAGTTTCTTCAGTACCAAATTTAGGAACCTTGCCCGAGTACTTGTACTTCAGAGAGCACCAGAAGCTTGTTTGTTGTCTGCTGAAAGCTTCAGGTTTTCCCATTACTGCATTATTTCATCAATTACTAATTTGTGCGAGTCACAGCAAGACTCCCGTTGTCTTCGTTAAATCCACTAGTAACCACGGTTGTAATACTTCTTATCTACATGCAGGTTTGGGACTTGTAAAAACGATATAGTGCAGAATAAAGGGACTACTAATTGGACTTTGTTACCTGAAATAGATTAAAAGTCCACAAGCTGAGCGATGCATCTTGTCCAACGCGATAGTTCATCTGTCTGAGCTTGAGACTCATCAATGAATATAGAGCCGCATGGCGATGCTTGATTGTGACATTTCAAGAATATCAAGGATCAAGTCAGCTTTAAACAGGGGCAGTCGCTGTCCAGCAAGGTGGCAGCATCTAATTTCTTTTCCACCCCTTGTACCCTGCTCACCAACCCTGCGTGTCCTGCAACTTTAACAGTCAATGAAATATCACACGAACAACAAAGCCCGTCAAATAGCACATCCAAAATTGAATCAAGGCATATCCTGGTCTAGCCTGTTCAAAGTAAATATTGTTCAGTGTTTCACAAATGTGAGATATTGTTGATCTCAGTCACTAAAGTCAGCCACAACACTTGAGATATCGTCAACCCATTACAAATATCCAAATCAGTGAATAATAAGTAGCAGGATCATGCAAGTTTGCAAAAGAAATTAACAGGAGCATCATTCACAACAAGATGACAAGTGCTCAAGTTGTATACATATTCTGCCCGCTAGTCTCTACAGCCATGCCTCCTCTTCTTCAAGAGCAGAGAAACACTACTACAGCGCAACAGACGCTGTCCACAAAGGCCGGGGTCTAGTTAACCCAAGCCTAGGAGGAACCTCCTGCAGGATGGTGAAAGAAGCAAACAAGGAAAAAGACTGAATTCGATCCATCTCCTCCCTTTTCTTTAAACCAAGAGCTACTCCTCTCTTTTCTTTTTTTATGTAATTTCAATACGATTTCGTTTGTGTTCATGTTTTCAATTTAGAACCCCACGGAAGTGAATAGAAAAAAGAAAAATACCCCTGTGATACGCCTTCCTTTACCTATTTCTAGATTGATTGATGTTCAATGGAGGGAAACTTGCCATTCCTTCTTTCCTTTGAAATTGTCCACAGTATCTGTGATAAATTTACAGCCAAGCAGAAATCCATGATCAGTTTGGAGAAGTGGGTTGCTGTTACAGAAAAATGTGTCAATGGATTGCACACAGGTGCTAATTTCGCTAGTTAGAAGGGTTAATTTACATGCTTTGGTTTGACCTTAAAAATCAAAGTTTCCCACGTTTATCTTCTGAAGGTGTGATATTTTTACAGGTTACATTGCTTCAGAGCAGTGGATGAACGCCTGAGCACTTGCTGTAAGACGAACTCTGAAAGAAAGACAGAAGGCTGTAATTTACTTTTGTATCGTCTATCACGACATCTGCAGACTGAACCTTAGTTTTATCAATGTAAATAGTAACATAAAAGTGGGTGTTATCCGCTTCTTTCTTTTTGTCTCTGTTGCCATGTTCACACTGTACCTTTACCAGTGTCTTTAAACTAGAAGTCTACCAGATAAATATACTTGAATAAAGTAAATTAGAAGACGTTTATAATAAGCTGCAGCAGAATAAGAAAGCAGGCAATGAAATCAGCTAGAAATGTAGTCACCGATAATTCTTTTAATTCAGCATGAATGCGAGCTACAACATATGCAGCATTTAAATTTTACACAAAAACACTACAAGTAATTTAGTCTAGCGAATGCACTTTTCTGCCAGCAACAAGCTTCGTTGAATAGCCTCAAAGAAAGAAACTTCAGTGGAAAGGATGCATTATCCTAGAAAAGCAATGCATATGAATACAAGAAGAAAAATCTGATGGGAGTTTCTTCAGTACCAAAGTTAGGAACCCCTGCCTGACACTTGTACTTCAGAGAGCACCAAAAGCTTGTTTGTTGTCTTCTGAATGCTTCAGATCCTCCCATTACTGCATTAATTCATCGAATCCTATTCCGCCTGAGTCACAGCAAGACTCCTCAAGAAAATGACTCTACAGAGGAGTCACTTTCAAACTGTGACATGGAATTCATGTTATCCACCTGGCATGTGTGATTCTGTGACCCATGACTGCTTCCCTGGCTATCCTCCTCAACAAGCGAGATGGCATTTTCAGTTTGAACAATGCCCCGACATCCGGCCAAAATCAGCTCTAGCATTTTCCTTCGCACGCTATAAACAGGGTTTGGCTCAACCAAACATCCTTTATTATAACTCTCCCTAAGAAGCACAGTTTGCGTGCTTCCTTTAGTCGAGATGTAGAAAATGCCAGGGTGCTTAAGAAGAAGTTCCCGCAAGTTTACCTCCATCAAAAATGGTCTCCTGAAGTGTGACAACCTCTCCAGTGGCAGCATCTTTTCGACTGTCGAGCTTAAGAGTTCATGAAGAATACCAACAATACGTTTCTCAAGCCTCTCAGCGTTGGTGATTGGATGCAAATCATTCTTCTCGTAAGGTTTGGTGTAGGGAAGCCTCTGCCAATTCTTAAGCTTTTCCCTAAAACCTTTCTCAATCTTAAAGCCTGTAGGGAAGTTTACTGGAAAAGCATATTTGGTCTCATATTCTGCCAACCATTTTTCTGTATACTCCTTGTCCCTCCATTCTTCGACACTAGCAACAGCTAGATTCTCATCCCTGGTGATCAATGTCAGAGTATCAGGGGTTTCAAGAGAAAAATCAGACAGATGGTTTGGCAGCATAGAAGACCTGTAGTCATCAGGCAGACCAAGCTCCTTCCTTATGAGCCATAACGCATGCATATTGAGAGTTCCGTCCGTAGACATCATGAGAAGTTTCTTGAGCCGCTGAACCACAGCGGATTCGTTTTCCCTGAGAACAGCATCTTCTTCCGCGACCAGATCAGCCATCTTCTGGGTGATCCTGCAGCAATGGTTCCTTTTGACAGGGTGCACATAGATCTCGAAAATGCGGGGGTATTTCTTAAGGAAAGCGCCGATCTCGGTGTTGAGGCCGATCTCACGCCTCCACCTCAGAAGTAGCTGGAGAGACGCGTAGCCGTTCCTCTGCTGGGATATGACGGCGTGCAAGTCCAAGGCCAGCCTCAGGTTCTTGAGTTGGATCATCAGCTTGTCCAGCCTGTGGTCCCTTGTTCTGCCCTCCAGGCGAGTCCGCGCTGAGTCCACCGGCTTCTTCCACCTCCTCTGCATGCTACGGTTAAACGGGCCGTAGCAGAACGCCTCATCCAGCATCTGCGGCCTCGGGGAGAAGACGCGCAGATGTTTTGGACTGAATAGCTTGGATGCCATCTTTGCTTGTATGCTAACAGACAGAATCCTTACCCAACTGAGAAGAAAAAACTGAATCTGCACTATGAAGTAGAGCGCAATGCCAACTTCTACTGGAACAACGCGCACGAATTTATCATGTGTGCAGCTGCGGGTGCGACTGGAGAAACAAGGGACGGCTGCGAGGTGGGCATTTCGTCGAACAGGATGCGCTCTATCTGGGTGGATAGGAGCGAGCTCTGCCTGGCGGCGTGTGGTCGCGGGCAAGCGCGAGGAAGGAGGACAAGGGGAGAGGCGCGGAGCCTGGTGGCTGCAGAGGACGGGGGCGACGGCGCGACCAGTGGTGGCGGCGGCGGTAGTATCGGCGCGAGGGAAAGCAGAGTGAGCAGAACGAGGCGGAGGTGAGACCCAAAATGGCTGCTTCGTTCGGTCACCGCTAGATTAGCAGGATGGGGAGATCCGCACCGTTCCCCGTCCGCCCCTCCCGCCACCCTACCTAACCACGACCTGTCGCCTCGTTCCTTTCCTTCTCTCCCACCCCCCGTGCCCGTGGAGCGGCGGCCTCCGTCAGACGTCAGACGTGGCCATCCATCCGTGCTCTGTCTGCTCATCCCTGTCGCAAATCCAAGTCCTACGTGACCAACCCTGAGCCTCCTGCTCCAGTCGCCGTGCTGGCTGAGGGCATCAACCTCAATCGGCGTCGTCCATCGTTCCTCCTTCCAGGTCCAGCGATGCGACCCATCTGAACCTGAATTTCTACTCCAAAGGTTTGCTCATAGCATCTACGAGTAACTGGTAAAATCACACTTGCTCCTGACCAAGTTTGGATGGGCAGGCTTATGTGCATCATTTTACAGCTCCCTCTACATCTCTGCCTACACTCTTCACTATACCTTGTTTCGTCAGCAAGACAGACACCATTCCTGATTATTTTTCCAGGCTATATGGCTTCACACAAGTTAAGTCCAACATCAGTGAACTAAATTGTGCTTCCAACATAGTTCAAGCCAATGACAATTATTTTTTTATATGTGTGTTTGCGACAGGTCAACAAGAGAAAGCAGATTAACAAAGATATCATCGTGGGAACTTTTTCATTCATTCTGATATATGCTTGCGGAACGTCAACAAGTCGTGTCGTGGATACCAGTACAAATACCAGAAAACCAAACCTATATTTATTTATCTATATACTTCCAATGAACCAGGGAAGACAACTTCACATTTTGCTTGCTTTCTGGAATCCATGCACCAGACCTGATCGATGAATGCCTCGTGTAAATCATCTTGTTTTCCACCTCGCCTAAACCTCTCGCCATTGCTTCTTCACATGTCAGCTACGAGCTCGCCGTACTCATCCAGAGCCAGATCAAATGAAGTGAAAGAGTGAGGAACCAGCATGGCCTGCATCTCTTCTGCAGCACTGGGTAGACCACTTTTTACCGGCTTAACCTGCATCAGTTGCAAGATACATGTTTTACAAAAAATTCTAGTGCATATACCGTATGAAACAAAAAGACCCTAAGCAAAGCAAAGCAAAGGCGCCATCTTACCTTAAGTGGGTCATCGAACGAGTTCTCATCCAACGTATCGTTGGATGTGAGAACGGTGACAGCTGATCTTGACGTATTGACACCAGCTTCCAGTCCGGTTGCAGATAATGTGAGGTTCACAGCGTTCGGCCCAAAGTTCACAATCTGCAGAAGATCACATGAAGATCGGTACGGAGTTCTAATTTCTAAAAGCTAGACATGTTACTCCAGCAGTATAAACCATGTCTGTGACTTTTTCATGCAAATACATAAATGTTGAAGCAATCCTGTATTGTCATATGTGGATTGGGCCATTTCAAACATCAAGGCAAGCTTACTACCCTTTGTCTAATGAAGCGAAGCAATGACATGCAGGATGGGAGGAAATTGGGACAACAGGGTTTACCTTTATCCTCAGGAAGATATCCTCATTGTCTTGCCAGGTAATTGCAGATGCTGCCAATGAACCAGAGTAGCTGGAATTGAGTCTCACTGGATGGATCACAGCACCACTTGATTCGCCGAAAAATGTCTGCATCCAGTAACTAGGAGTCCCATACTGTTGCCAGGAGTTCAAGACTATCGCATCTGGGTTCCATCTGATCATTATATTCAGATATAATCACTGAAACCGTCCTAAATAAGAATGCTAGTACGAAAACACACACAGAAGGCTGTCAGTGCTAACTGGCGGTCGTTTTCATTTACGAAGAGTGGAGCATAACATGCCATGTGGACGATATCACTGCAAAAGAAAATGACACAAAACAATCTCATTAACTTATTAAACCCAGTCATTAACTCACGTTAAGGCATTATTGTTATCAATATTTAGAAGATTATTCATTGTTCAACGAATGTATTTCATAGTTTCTCGACCACATGCACAACTATCAAAGACACACCCAGCAAAACTTACGATAGAAAGACAACCCTTTGCATTAGTGATGTTCCCCAAAACCTCAAAAAAAGAAGGAGGCATTGCCTATTATTCTCTAATCCAATTAGAAATGCAGCCTCTGCCAATGAAGCTAGAAGGCTTCCCTTGCCGGCATCCCCTTCATCAGTAACAGCATACTCACTAACGAATACCTGAAATAAGAGTGTAGCAAAGTTAGGCATCAGATACCCTCAGTCTACAGAATACGCAATTCTAGAACATGGTAACAGTGTCATGCTTGTCACTATGAATCAGTTAAGATCTTCCTCCTAAAAAACCTAAGAAAACTGTATGGGAAATGTAAAAATCTAGTACGGCGAGTTCAATAGAATTTTTTCATATATACTCCCTCCGCCCGGAAATACTTGTCATCAAAATGGATAAAAGAAGATGTATCTAGACATAATTTAGTTTTAGATACATACATTTTTATCCATTTTGATGACAAGTATTTTCGGACAGAGGGAGTACATCGCTATATGTAGATGTCAACTTCAATTGCACAATAAGAAAAAAAGATAGTGACCTCAAAACACCCCATAAAGTCAGAAACGTAAGTCCATGAAACATCTATTACCAACATAAACAATTCCATACGCCCTTAGAAACTAAGACATACCTTAGGCCCAGTACGTGATGTCCTGCTAAACTTATCTTTCTTGAGAAAAAGATCATTGGCATTGGTATATATCTACAGAAAAGAAGACAGAGTATTTAAGAAACCATTGATATTTGATAGTGAAAGTTAAACAGAAAGAAATGACAAACCAATTTGCAAGCAGAAAAACTCACATGGAAATCATATAAATCCACAGGATGGTCAAGTGGCTCAGATGAGCCATCGCAGTTTGAAATAATTTGAATATCTGGATAGGCCTCTCGTATGGCATTGTAGAACTTGAGGTAATGTCCTGTTAAATAGAATTTAAGGGCATCACGTGCAACATGGGAAATTCTAAGCTAGCTCTTCACTCTTTAGTATTCCAGCAAAACAAGTGAAGGCCACTGTAATTCTGTAAGCTATGATGGAATAGCTTAATTTATGTGCAAATTCAATGTTAGTGGTCTAGTGGACCATAAACTGGTAAAGTGGATGGCTCAATTTTTCTTCCATTTTTTTCATGGCATTGCTATGATCATAATCAACTCCATAATTCAATGATGGCTAAAAAGGGGAAATGAAGAAGTAAAATGTGGTTTTAGATATGCTCGGCAAAAAAAAGTCATGTCGAGGAATTGCCAATTAGACTTGGCAAATGGCCATCACATCACTTCAAACTACTAAGATATTCAATAGCAAACATTACCTTTACAGTTTATGCATGTTAATTACTAATAAAAATTTACCCTGGTAAAATGGTTTGGTGTTGTCACAATCTTCATTCCCAACCGCGACATACTTCAGCGGAAATTGTTCAGGATGCCCCATTGCAGCTCTAACGGATCCCCATGTCGATTTTGCACTTCCCCTAGCGAACTCAAGGCTGTCCAATACATCCTATAGCAAGGAAAGAAAACAAAGAACTTAAAATCATAAAAAATGCATAGGCCTAAATATTTGTAAGATGAGAAATTTTAAGATGCTCCCAAATTGTTCTGGATCGTCCATTTATATTGATATAATGGCTAGGATGATTTATTACCTTGTAGAGGATAAGAGGCCACTTTGACCTTTCTAAAGATATTGATGCTTTTTCACAAATATATAATATACCAGTACAATTTCAAAAGAGCTCTTGTTAGATCGATAGCACCTGCTACGAGGGAAAAAACAGACGGGCTAACTTTTTTTTATGAACATTGACAGTGACATAGGTGACACACTATGTTCCATTGTGCCAATTTGGCTTTTCATTATGCTAACTATCTTCCCTTTGAGCAATGCTCAATCGAGTATACACACTATATGTCTATATGTTGTTATCATTCAGATACCATACCAGTAAACTAGCATGTACAGCTGTTATTTTGACAAGACCACCTAACTTACCTGGATCTAATATGCTCATAAACATGTTCTGAAAAGAGGCGCCATGTGTTCTTTTTGTGTATGCACCCAGTAAAAAAAACATTAAACTGTACTGCACTAAGTGTGATCCATACAGGGAAAGATCTACTCCATAAAAAAAATACCTTTACAAAAGGTGCGAGGGCAGTGGTATCAACTTGATCATTCCGGCTGATCCCTTAAATTTAAGATAAAAAAGTTCAAAAAATTAATCAGTACGCAAGTGATTATTCAAGATATGTTAAAGTAGGATTAATGGAAAAATAGCGAGAGTACTATTTACCAGCATTAAAAACCCAGATTGGCTCGGCACCGAGGTCTTCCGCAAGCTTTCATAGACATCTCACACTCAATGTATGAGTTTAGATATGGTTACACCTAGAAAATTCATATGAGATTAATCAGCATACCTGGAGAAGCTCATAATACCCAAGACCATCATCTGTCCAGTAATTCCAAACGTCTCCATAGTGCCCAGGCCTCTCTTCCCATGGACCGATAGTTTCCCTCCATCTGAAAGCATTTCTTAACAATTTGCCTTCAACAAAGGTACCACCTATAAAAAATGGTGTGAAATATCATTATACGTATGATTGAAGAATTGTTAAAAATCTGATTACAAAATTTCATTTGTTTCTAGAATAAAGTACCCACTATGGCATCCATATGAAAAAAAATACAGAGAAATATGGCAATCGTATGAAAAATACAGAGAAATATGGCAACATATGATATCAGGGGTAAGATAGTCATTTTCAGTTTAACTTGCATTCTGGATTAACTTGTCGACAAATTTGAACCTTCTACACATTCTTCAAATTATTGTGTTAAGCATACAGTGTCAAGTAAATTAGCATCATCACTCTAATCTGGACTAGGAAGATTAATAAGTTGTACAGTTTTAAACAGGCAATGATGTACTTCTGTGTTAAGCATATCATCTCAAATCAACCTAAACAGAACGATTATGTAAAAAAGAACGTTGCAGAAGACACTAAAAATGATAAGAACTTTGTGCTCAATTACAGTTTCTTCTGGTAAATTAGTTTTAGATTTTCGTGTTATCCATATCTTGGACTATACCACAAGATAAATTTGTGCATATGAATTTTATGATGAAGAGGCCGGGAGTAATAAAAGCTTACATGATACATAAAAAAATACCACAAGATAAAAATTGTCTGCTGGGTACACCAGATGCAAGATCTGTTTTTGGGGTCAGCCAACTTGATACATAAGAGAATATTAAAGATCTATTTGATCAGATATGTTCAACGCTGTTATATAATAAGGTCAGCTGTTTATATGGCTAATGGGGCATATATAAACACAGTACATGACTACATGGTACAATAGAGTCCTACTCTATCCCGCACATCAAACCTTGTCAGTTTTCACTTGATTTCGCAACCATAAAAAATGCATTCTATAGAACAAAAGGTATGCAGTACAAAGGAGACTACAGTGTACTTCTACAGTTTTGTGCTTCTGTCATTAGTAGTTCCTTTGGCAGACGTAATAAAGTTTATGATTGTCAGTCTAGGCATATTCCGGTTTGAGGTTGGTTGCTTAATTAGTTCCTACCAAATCCTAGTGGCTGAATATGATCTAAAAAATACAAAGGAATACCCACCAAAAGTTTGTGAGAGCCACTGGATATAAACAGTTCATAAACATGTTAGAAGTTTAGAACATAAACGTGCAGCATTTATTAGTTGATCTTAATTTGAAAAGCATATGAAATACCAGGAAATCGTAGGAACCGTGGTTTTAAATCCATAAGCATGTGTATGAGTTCCTTGCGAAAGCCATGGCCCTGTATATGTACAACAAAATAATGATTAAGGTCATGTAAATCCATACTTAGAAGCATTTGATAAGGTAGATTAAATTATTATTATTACCAGATTTCTAGAAAAAAATTGCACTACCACCCTCGTGACCTGAGATTGGCACAGGCAGTGGCGACTGCTACTGTCTCAGTTTGGCTTAGCCTGACCTAGCTTAGACGTTTTCTCATTTTTGTTTTTCTCTTCCGTTGTTTTAGCTTTTGTTTCGGTTTCACTTTGTTGGCCGTGTACTTTGCGCTTTCTTTATGCACAATGAGACACTTTTGGTACGTGTTCAAGAGAAAGTTATCTGCTTTGGGTTTATTAAGCAGCAATGAGAACTGTTGTACCAACAATTCGATCATTATTGATTTTCGCTTATGGTTAGACAAGTTATTGTTCTGATACTTGATTTTCCTTGAACAAATTCTTGCTAGGTAACATAGCAAGCCTGCATTTTCTATATTGTATAACAATTTGAGGTAATATACTTCCATATTGAATCTATGCAAACTGCTTCCAGATCACATCACGCATTTGTGATTGCCAGTACCGAATAGCAAGATAGAGGATAAAAATGCAATTCACCTTGTATGTCTCTGAAGGTATGAGCGACACTTGATCGATCCATATGACTCCCCTTTTGGAAGTTGTTAACTCAAGTCTTGAAGTTCTGCACGTTCCTTTAGCTAATAATTGCATCTCTATCTTTCTCCAATCTGACACATTTGTATCTCTGTAACCACACCGTATTTAATCCTTTCAGTCGTAGTGAAACAATTAACAAATTGGAAAATCATCTTATCTCAGTGCTAGGGAAGATATATACACTATGACAGCTGCTGCTATATTTTGCAGTCCATCTGAACATGTGAGTGAAGCAGTCAACTCCACAGATTCTAGTGATCTGATATACATTACCAGATTATAGCTCTTCCCCTCTTCGATGTTCTGGAAGTGGAAATGGTCAGGTGCAACATAAAACCAGAGGGAAAACATGGAAATGCTTCTGAGAAAAAAGGATGCATTCCAAGGAAGCGGAAGCATTAAATGGAGAGCTAAAATTACCCAAGGAAAATATGGATGTGGATTAGAACAGATCAAATTATGTTTCAGTTTTCACTTTTGGGAAGAAAAATATTTGCTATCATTTTTCAGCTAGCAATGCTGTAGCTTGTAAACTGTTGACCGTCATTTTTTTATGATTTATATTTTCATGCTGATGTTCCTGTCCACTTAACATATTGATGAAAAGAACGTACCATGCCCCAGAATCCTGGGTTGTAAATACCAACACCGCCAGCTGGACACTTGGCACAAAGAACTTCCATCCTTAGAGCAATGATATTTCTGCTGAAACAAGATGCTCTTTCAGTCTTCACGTATATAGAGGATTCGTCACCAATGATGGACCATGGATCTATATTTGAAGGAGTGTAAGGCCCTCCAGCTTCAAAACCTAAAGCACAATTCTGTAACAGTCAGTACATGGCTAAACGTGAAATTTTATCGACATGTTATAAAAGTGAAAGGCCAACAATTTTTTTTTTGTATTGTTATTGGTAGTAATAGTGATTTGTTTTGTTCTGCAGTGATTGCAGAACTACCTAGGGAACAGAAAACAAGAAGCAGGAAGGACTGCCAAGTGCCAGCTGTCAATATGGAACAGGAATAAATATAGAAGTAAGAGCAATCTGTTCTGTTATTGTTCATTTTACAAAATTCCGTACGATCCAGCCACGCAAAAAGGGCACTGTACTCTTTTATTTCATAAACTGACCATTCAGCCTAAATGAATCCCTGTTATAAGGGAAATCTGGATATAGGTCAGTGCAAAACTTAAGAGTCCCAAAAAATGTAACTAGGTGTATCACTGCCATGTAAGTCATTGTATAGCGTTTGGAGCTATGTATCAAGCGCATTTGTATGTAACGTAGTTAAGGGCATCCAGAACTTTCTGATAACATGTTCTCAAGAGGTAGTGAGGTACACATAACAGCTGATAGTGATAGTACGTAACAGCAGTACCTCTGTTACTGACAAGCTCCGCCCACAATCCACCAGCTCCAGCGTGGTTGATTTCCTGGAATAAATATTCAGTGGAAGAATAATCAGAAGGGTTTTGTGATGGGATTTAAAAGCAATGATCGTTAGCCAAAAGATGACATGCACCTCAAAGAACAAGCCAAAGAGGGTTTGAGGGATCTTTCTGGCGGCCTTCCATGACGTATCGACCTCCAGCAGTGCCGTCTGAGCCCCCTCCGACTCTGCCGCCAGGCACCCGCAGCTCAACGAGAGAAGAAGCAAGGAGCAGAGCATGGCAAGCAAAGCTGCCGCATCCTTGGTACCCATCCTCCACTTACTCCAGCCTGCAGATAAACATCATCAACTCAGTTCGCGGATCGATAGAGCAAGTAAAATGGCGACAAACAGTAGAATTGTTTCCACAAGAGAACCGAATAATTGGGGGCGCCGGTGAAGGAAAGAAAAGAAAAACCAAGTGGCAAAGGTGAACTCGTTTGGGGAGAATTTAGCGGGAAGAAAGCATAAAACACAAGGCAAACAAAGCGAACCGCCTCTCTTGGGCATTCCATCGAACACCTCAACCTCTCAACCATGATGCGTATGAACAGTATTACTGACCGGAGCAGGGAGAAAATGACGCAGACAGAGAGGGGGGTCGCCGTAACGAACAAGATCGGATCATGGAACTGCTCACCTCCGGCCAGCACTTGAGGACGGAGCGAAGGGATGCCAAGCGCGCGTGAACTGTGATGCCGCGATGGTGTTGGTGGGGAGCTCGGGGAGGAAGAGGAAGTGCCGCTGCTTAAGTAGCTGCTGAGAGCCCATGACTGCGAACGAGGAAGAGAAGAGAGGTGGGTGGGTTTGGTGGGTCCAAAAGAGTGGGACCGCGTGCCACGTGGATCTTGGAGCCAGCATCTTTGCACGTATCAGCCGTTGGATGTTGATCCGGCGGCGGAGCGAGTGGCGATGGCCGATGGGCAACGAGCACACCCTCGGTCGTTGCTTCCCGGGCTAGACTGGATATGGCCGATGGACTTGGCGTTGTTCGGAGGTTAGTTGGGATGTCTGGAATTCAGTCAAACGGTTGATCACCTGTTCATGCAATGCTCCATGGCTGGTACGCTTGGGGATGGTCAATTGTGCTTTTTAGTTTTGACATGAATTTGACTCCGGTTAGCGAATTTTGTAGTTGGATTTCCAGTTTCCCCCTAGTTTAGGGTGAATGCATCTATTGGTTTAGATGCTGTTTTTTGGGCTGTGGAATAATAGAATTCAGAAGTTAGGATGACGATATGTGCTTTCGTAAAAAAAAGAAGGGTGACAGCATATGGAGGCTAAAGGGGCAAAACTGCTACTGCAAGTTGCAGCTGAAGAATAGCTGGACGGTGAACTTTTGCTTGCACCCTGGAACGTATTGTATACAAGTAGAGTAATAAGGCATGATGCCCACCCAACTACTCTTTGTTGACATTTTCTAAAATCTTGGATGGGCACAACATCGATAATTGATGTGGGCAACAAATCCATGACTGTAAATAATAACCTTCTTGAGTGGGCTGGCCACACCGCTGGTGAAGATAAGGGTGATTGGGTGAGTGAAGACTAGTGGCCACAAGGGAGAGGGCAATTTTTACAAATAGCATCTTAGAAAAATTGAAACTGAATTTGTTTTCAGATTTCAAAGCCGTCAAAACAAAAGAGATAGAGACCCTACCACGAATCGGTTACCTAATTCAATTGACCCAATTCAATTCCAGTATACAAAAATGCCCTAAGACACAACATATTAGGGAGACGTGTGTAGGAACAACATTCTTATTCTCGCGCTCTCAAACGAAGAAATAATCGGAGGAGCTCGTAGAGGTCTACTCACTCTTATTAAGCAAAAGCATTGGTGAGAGCATTTTTTTTCTGTTGCAAAAGTTAATGGACTGCCATGTGTGTCATGCCTATAAATTTCATATTGTAGGAGACATCCTTCGTCAAGGATTACATCCATCCACGTGGTCGTTTCTGGACCACAGTCTCTCTCTATGGCCCGATTTGTAGGAAAAGACCCATGCCATGTTTGCTTGTGTCTTACTTTCATTCCCTTTTCATAAGAAATAGATGGACAAGAAATGCCACCCGCTCATAATTGCCCCCCTTTGGTTGGCATCTTGCCTCCATTATCATCACCTATTTTGCGAGTCTCATTATTACCACCTCTTGGAGCACTTCTTTGTGTGTACACTTGCATGCATAGTATTCTGTCTCGTACTCGATTTGCAGGCCGGAATAGTTCCTCAAATCACAAGAAAGGAAAACGAATATAGCTATTCGTGGGTGGTAGAGTGAGGAGCAACAATGTGTGTGGTCACATGCAACGTGATGAGATGGATACACACACCGACGATGAAACTTAGAAAGGCTAGCTGTAGCTGACAGGTCCATTGCTTGCTGTGATGGCTCACTGGTTAGTTATGTTTGTCTCAAAATGCTTAAAAGGAAAACCACTATGGCAAGATAGCGTGACTCATTTGCATCGACGCGTAGTCGTTTGGCAGTTCCTCTTCTGTGGTGCTAGGCTCCTAGCCACGTGTTGAACAAGTTTCTTTGGCTTTCCCGACGGTTTGAAGTACCATTTCTCTGAAATACCGGGGCAATTTTAAGGCCGATCGTAGATGTAAATCCAAAAGTACACACGATATCAGTACGAGCATGAAGAACACTCCATGATACTCGCGTGATGAGCGTGGTGGCCAAATACAGATATCAAATCGAAAAGTAAAAATATATGCAATTAATCAATCTTCCAACACCTCACATGTTCATCTGCCATCTTCCACACATACACAAGACGGAATCCTTCTCAGGCAATGGCTTCCTTCTCCTGTTCCTCCTCTAGTAGTGTGATGAGCGTGATGGGCGTGATCTTGCTGCTCTTCTCCGTCCTCCTTGCGGCTGCCGAAGCACCTGTGCCTGCGCGGTCGGCCAGCGACCAGATGATACTTGCCGCATGCAAGACCGTCGGCGGCGGGAGCACCTACTTCGACGTCACGTTCTGCCTGGGTGCCCTCGGCTCCGCGGGCGGCGCCGGCGGCTACCAAGACCTCGCCGCCGTCGCCGTGGACCTCCTCGCGACCAACGCCACCAGCACGGAGGCCAAGATCGACCGCCTGCTCGGTGGCAGCGGCGTGGAGGTCAAGGCGGATGACGCCGCCCTGGCGCGGTGCCTCCGGTCGTGCCAGTCGCTGTACGGCGGCATAGTGGACGACGGGCCTGCGTGCACCGCCGCGGTCAATGGCGGGAGGTTCGGCGAGGCGACAGCGATCCTGGAGAAGGCCGCGGCCGCGGCCAAGGAGTGCGAGGGCGGGTTCGAGAAGAGCAGCGCGGCTTCGCCGCTGACGGCGGAGGACGACGACGCGTTCAAGCTCGCAAAGCTCGCCGTCGCGTTGCTCCGTTTTGCTTCAGAGCCCGGAAACGGACATTGCTGCTACTGATGTTTCGAATTTTTTTTTTGTTCTTTTCTTTTTTTGAGTATTTTCGTATATTGCATAATAACATTCTTGATTAGTTGTTCTATTTGTAACCGTGCCTTGGAACTGTCAAGGGCTTGGGAACCCCGAGGCAGTTCGTGAGCTTCGCAATATTGCAAGGCAAGAAGGGCCTGCTCTGGTTTTTGTCATGGAGACTAAGATAAGAGGCAAGAGAGTTGAGGATCTGCGGCACACTCTAGGGTTTGCAGGCAGTTTTGTTGTGGACAACGACGGTCTAAGCGGAGGCTTAGGACTGTTCTGGTCCAATGAGGTGAAAGTGGAACTGAAGAATTACAGCAAGAATCATATTGATGTATTGGTACAGGAAGATGCAGATAGCACGGTCAGCCGGCGCTTCACGGGGTTCTATGGAGCGCCGGAAGCAGCAGATCGCCACCATAGTTGGCGCTTTTTGCGTACTCTGCATGCCATGCCTCACGATGCATGGCTTTGCATCGGTGACTTCAACGAAACCCTCTATCCCCATGAACACTTTAGTCTCTCAGCCCGTCCTGAGTGGCAGATGAGGAATTTTCGTGAAGTGACCGATGAGTGTGCTCTCCAAGATCTAGGTTGGTCAGGTGTTTCATACACATGGGACAATGGTCAAGCCGGAGATGCCAATGTCAAGGCCAGGCTCGACGGGGCCTTTGCCAATGAAGCGTTCAGACTTATGCAGTGGAGTCAGATCATTGCTTTGTTGTGACAGAATTCAGGCACCATGCACTCCCACATCGATCGTTCAAGCAAAAGCAATTCCGTTACAAGAATGTTTGGCAGTCACACCAGGATTACGAGGAGCTTATAGCGTCCTCTTGGCGCAGCCATGATCGCAACCCTGGTATGCAAGGAATAATGGACTCCCTTGGGGAGCTCCAGCAGCAACTCGAGCCCTGGGGAGCCCGAGAGTTCAATAGCCTGTCGAGATCGGTACGCAATCTGCAAAAACGACTAGACCGGCTACGACACCACTCAGTTGGCCGTGGCCCAACAGAAGAGGAGAAAAGAATTGTGTTCCAACTCAGAGATACTCTCCGCCTTCAAGAGGTTTGGCTCCGGCAACGATCTCGAGTTTCGTGGTTGCGCGTGGGAGACCGCAACACGGCTTATTTCCAAGCACAAGCAAGATAGAGGCAGCGTACTAACCGAATAGCTTCTCTCACAAGAGCAGATGGCTCTGTTTGTGTTACGGAACAGGAGTGAAAGAGGAAATTTCAGCTTTTTTCAGGCTCTATACTCGTCGCAAGGCGTCCATGATGCTAATGCGCTGTTATCACATGTTCCTACCCGGGTTACTCCGGCTATGAATGACCTCCTATGCAAGCCGTTCGAACCACCCGAAGTTCGCCATGCTCTCTTCCAAATGGCTCCATCCAAGGCGCCGGGCGTGGACGGTTTCACGGCGGGTTTTTTCTAGCGCCACTGGGAGCTATTGGGAGAAGATGTAACCAAAGTGGTGCTGGATTTTCTCAATGGTGGTGAACTACCCACGGGCATAAATGATACATCGATCACTTTCATCCCAAAGGTACGTTGATGACCCACAAGTATAGGGGATCTATCGTAGTCCTTTCGATAAGTAAGAGTGTCGAACCCAACGAGGAGCAGAAGGAAATGATAAGCGGTTTTCAGCTAGGTATTCTCTGCAAGTACTGAAATAAGTGGTAACAGATAGTTATGTGATAGGATAAATTGTAACGAGCAACAAGTAACAAAAGTAAATAAAGTGCAGCAAGGTGGCCCAATCCTTTTTGTAGCAAAGGACAAGCCTGGACAAACTCTTATGATAGGAAAAGCGGTCCCGAGGAC